AAGGTGGGCTCGGCTACAGACGCACAGGAGAAGCCGCTCGCCAGATGGAGTTTTTCTAAAATTTTCCAGGGCTTGCTCCTGATGGTGGGGGCCAGTGGGAGCCACCGGTGGTGGAGAGGTTTCTTTCCCTGGTGTAAGGTGGTGCTCTTGGGTTAATTCCCAGTCCGAAGAAACAGTTGTAGTAGGTGAGGGATAGAACTTGGCCACAGTGCCCGAGGGGGAGTTCCAGGAGAGGCTGCCAGCACGTTCAGGTTTGTCCCGGTTGCACCCGGATGGGATCGGCTGGGGATCTCTGTGGAGGTGGGAATCAGGCCAGTTTGTTTGTAAATGGATGCTGGGGGGGGTGCTGTGGTAGGGAAGGAAGTGGGTTGTAGTCCCCCCACCATATAAGGTGTGTGTTCCGAGGTTTCAGTCCTGTATCTGAAGAAACAGCCGAAGGGAAGGGAAGGCGTGGGGTGTGGCCACAGTGCCCGAGGAAGAGTTCCAGGAGGCTGGTGGTATTGCGAGGTTTGTCCCTGACAAACCCGGGCTTCTGTGCTCCCACTTGGTGCAGTTTCCTTACTTCAAGCATTAATAGAGGGGCAGTTGGCTGTTCTTACTGCCTCTTCTGTTTAAAGGTGTGGAGGCTGGTGGGATTGGTTGGAACCGTAAACGCTGGCGCTCCTCTGCCTGCGGGAGCCCACCAGGGCTCCATGAGGAATGGGAGAGAGTGCTTCCCACTGAGACCCTGGAGGTGCCTGGAGTCCAGATCCGAGCGTGCAGGAACTGGCCCTGGGCAAGTGAGATGGCTCGGCCTTGAACATGCATGTGTGGGCTCGCTCATCGAAGTTTTTCTCAAGGGTTTCGGGTCTCCTCTCCTGATGATGGTGGGGACTGGCTTCGGTTTGTAAGTGGGAGCAAAGGATGGTAGGAAGGTTTCTGTCTAGTTCTTCTAATTTCAATGCCTTCTGCAGGCCGGGCCCCCCTGCTCATGGGAGACAACCAGGACTCAGTGGGGTATGGGAGAGAAAAAGGGTGTTCGGTGCTCAGACCGTGGCAGGCTACGCTGCAGAGGAGGGGGTGGGTGTGGGTCTTACAGGGAGGCAGGCATGGGGTCCTGGTCGTCAGGGAGGGTATTTTTCTCAATTTTTTCAGGCTCTTTCCTTACGTGGGGTGGCCAGCCTTTGAGGCCCTATGTGTGAAAAAGGTAGGAGGGCTGTGGTCCCCTAGTGCAAGTCTCAGTTGAAGGAAAGGTGCCCCTGGAGAATCCGTCTCCAGATGCAGACGAGGATGGACTGGTCCCTGCCCCACTACAGTGTGGTTGACAGGGTGCTCCCAGCACTCACAGCATTACCCCGGAGGCTCTGTAGCAACAGAACGTGGAGGGTTCAGGGAAGCGGTGGATTTGGCTGTGTACCCAGGAGGCCACCACCATGACTCCTGGACCAGCTCTATCGCCATCTGCAGTGTCATTAGCTTCTGCCTTTGGGTGTAGGCCAACGGCATGACTGTGGCTGAAGACATCAGCTCTGCAGGTCTGAATGGGGCCCTCCCCCCATGAAGGCTCTCCTGCAGAAGCTCTCACCATCGCGGCCCCTGGGCCAGCTCTTGTACGCCCAGGCCCTCGTTCTGGTCTCTGGCCTCCAGTGCCTGAGAGCGGCGATGACTGCAGTGACCCCACCTCGCAGGTCTTCCTGTTTTGTGTCGGGGGTCCTCCTCCAAGGTTAAGCTATACTTCACCTAGGAAGGGCTGCAAGGCTGATGCAACCCTTCCCGGCTGCTCTCCGTATGTGGCCCTCACGCACTCCTCGGATGCGCCCTAACCTCGCAGAGGAGGACCAGACACTGCGCCCGCTCTGCCCCTGGCTGGGCCTGTGCTCATCGGTCAGGTCAGAGACGTGCTCCGAGGCTGAGCGCATCGATTCAGCGGCTGTGGGTGCACCCTTGCCACCCTGCGAGGTAGACCCGTCCACGGGACATTTGCGTTGGCTGTCTCAGGCGCTATGTGGTATAGACGCTTTTACATTGTTTCCTCCTTCGGGAGCACAGGATTTGGCCTCGGTAAGCCAGGCAGAGCTCCAGGAGGCCCTTGGCACTCGCAGGATCGTCCGGTTCATTTGGCTTCGGGACGTCAGAAGGTGGCCCCCACCAGAAGTGCCCCTCGTCGGGCCCCAGCTCACTGCGGAGGTGGGGGGGGCTGGCACAAGCCGTGCTGGGGGAGCTCTGAGGTGTGTCAGAAGCTCACGAGTGTTCCGTCATCAGGGGCACCTCCGTGGAAATTTGTTTCCATCTGGAGACTTGAAGGGACCGTTCCTCCCTGCTCTGTGACTACATCCATTGGGTCGACCAGATGGCCCTGCAAGTTCTGAGGCTGAAGGAAGGGGATGGTAGAGAGGATTAGTGACCAGGCCATGGTTCCAGGATGGCCGCATGAACTGTGACTCAGCCCCACCAACAGGCAAGGTATTTTTTTCATCAGAAGTGAGTGGTTTGTATCACCAGGTTAGTGGTTACCCTATGGTGGGTGGCAAAGGAAGCCTGCTCCATGAACAGGCCTCTGGGTTTGACCATGGCCAGATGCATGGCTCTGCCGTGGCTATAGGCATGCCAGACTGGCTCTGTTGGAGGGCAGCTCTGTGTTTCCATCCTGGTGCTGCTTTCAGGCTCCTGTGCCTGAAGGGGTTGAGTGTGGTTCTGCCCAGGGCTGCTGTGTGGGAAGCAGTAGAGTGGACCCTACTGACTGGGCCCTCCTGTGCTGTAGAGTCTGCCCTTGGCAGCTCTAGGCTGTGCCCTGCCCATGGCTGCTGAGTGGGAAGCAGTGGAACACAGACCCTGCTGACTGGGCCCTCCTGTGCTGTAGAGTCTGCCCTTGGCAGCTCTAGGCTGTGCCCTGCCCAGGGCTGCTGAGTGGGAAGCAGTGGAACATGGGCCCTGCTGACTGGGCCCTCCTGTGCTGTTGAGTCTGCCCTTGGCACCTCCTTGCTGTGCCCTGCCCAGGGCTGCTGAGTGAGAAGCAGTGGAAGGCACCCCACTGTCCTGGCTCTTCTGTGCTGTGCAAGACACAATGATTGGGAGTAAGAGCAGAGGACCTCAGACCAAGGGCAATGCATCTGCTGGAGAGTGTCAGCTAGAGATGGTCCTACATGTTCCACCTTGGGGAGAGGGTGCACTGACAATCCTGTTCCTCTCTTCCTTGCAAGGTGTGTTGCCTGCCTGGCTCTGCCTCCCTGGTCTGGATGTTTGGGACTGGGGTTCATGGACCCCTTTGCCTGGTGGTGTGTGCAGACACTGAGTGAAGAGCAGTGTCCTGTGTCCCAGTGTGTGCTCAAGGGGATGTGCTCCCCCTGCTGCCATCCTCGTCCAGTGCTGTTCTGCCCACATGGGCTCTTCCTGAACAGGTTAGAGTTTGGCGTCAACCCTGCAATGCTCACTCTTCCAGTTGCTTGCCTGTGGGGGGAGCCTCTTTGGAAAGAGCTCCACTGCCAGGCTCTCTGGGATGCTAGTGGACACTGGGTTGTCACCCAGGTCCCTAAGGCTGAGTGTGGGGGATGTCCTTCCCTTTCTGCTTGACCACCTCAAGCCACTGCTGCAGTTTTCTGGTGAGCAGGTGGGCCCATGTCCTGTCTCAGAGATATTGATGGGTTGTGTGTTGTGTACCACCTGTGCTCTGTTGCCAGTGGTTGGCTAAGCCAGCCACAGGGGGGTCCACCAGGTCTTGGCAAATAACTGTTTTTGCATGTTACATGCAATTCAAATTCCCTTTGGGTTTTCTTAATGCAAACACAAGCTTAAAGAAAAGGGAGTGCTTTGTAGGAGGGGACCTGAGTGTACCATGTTAGGTTCCCAATGCCACTACAGAGGCTGTGAAGCTGCCTCTGATCCCTGCCTCTGATCCCTGCATCTGAAGCTCTAGCTTCTGCATGGGCCAGCCTGGTAAGTGATGCCCCTGGTGACAGGACAGTGAACACCCAGTTGGCTTTTCCAGTCACTGGTGTGGAAATGTGTGAGTGGGGTCCATGCTTTTGTGCTGGCTGAGTTGGGGCCAAGCCTGTGCTTTTTGCCTCAGGCCACTTGGTGCTCTTCATTGTGTCACCCTCCAAAAGCCCTGCTGTGCAGTCTGCTCCCTTTCCTGTGCCATCCTGAGTGCACAGGTTGGTGGGGGGGAGCATTTCTGAGACTGATGGAGGTTGTAAGTAAAACATGTGGCCTGTGTTGTCCCAGACAGGTGTCACAATGGAGTGGCCTGCATTGTTGGTGGGAGTGGATCCCATCCTGTCTTCTGGAGCTGAAGACCCTTCCTGGAACCCTCCCAATGGTCTCACCTTGGGTGCCTTGCTTTCACCCCTACTGACCTCATGGATTGAAATTGGCCTCAGTGTGTGGTGATCCTGGGGTGAAGTGCCCCAGATCTGACAAGGTGGCCCAGGTGACAAGCCAGTGGCTGATCACAGGATGTTGGTATGTATGTGGTGATCTGGGCTGGAACCCAAGGGGGGGTGGGTGGCTGTGTCACCAAATAAGTAGGTGTCATTATAGCAGGCTCTGTCTCTGTTCTTTGATGGTGGCTATTAGCCTGGCTGCTTGTCATTAGGTGGTAGCTCCCTCCATCTCCAGCCCTCCATGTGGGGGAGAACACCTGTCAAGTTAGATCAGGCCCAGGCCAGTATTCCTCAGTGTGATGTTGGCAGTGACCCTATTTCCAAGTATATGGTCACCTTTGCTGAGGTTCACAGCTCTGGATCCCCTTTTGAGGGGAGGGGAGAACATAGCTCAACCCTTAACACTGTAATTCATTTATTGTAAAGCAAAGTCAGCCCAGGTCTCCTCAGAGCATGTGTGCCCAAGCAGCTGGCAGTGGAGGTTGGGGGTCATGAGGAGGCCCCTGCTGCAACCCTTGGCTGCAGAGGTTGTATGCTGCCCGGTGTGATGCAGTCTGGAATAGTAAAGGCACTTTTTTTAAATAAATGCCTGACTTTTTACAGGAATGCGTTCTTTTTATAGGGGAAGGATGCTAGAAGTGCTTTTTGCAGTTTTGAAAGTTTTTATTTCACAAAGTTTTCTGTACATGGAAATAAATACAGAAAAAACCCCAACCCCATCACCGTCAGCCTCAGTAATCCTTGCTGGTGGGCTCACCATTTACAAGGAAGACGTCATTCAACGCCACCTGTCACAGAGACTGTCCTTGTCACAATAAGGACCTCAAACAGCTGTAAGGATTGTTGCTTTAGGTTTCTTTTGTTATCTACTGGCTATAGCTTACCCATGTGAAAGACCAAGTCAGTGGTAACTGAAGTGACCAACTGCTGCCACCTAGTGGGCAATAGGCAATGCAAACTTCAACTCCTAAAGATGCAGCTGGAGGTTAAGAACAGAAATAAACCTGATGTCCCCTGGGCTTTTGTAGTCACTGTGAAAAAGCGTGCGTTAAGGCAATCGAAGGGGGGAGGTTGAAGGGTTCACCTTGCTTAGTGCCCAAGTGGGCACCAGCAAGGTCTCTTAGCCTCATCCACCAGACGTGGGGCCTCTCCGTCCAGGTCTCCAGGAGCAGGCTCCGCCTCCTTCCCCAGACAAAGGGTTGTAACCTGAGAGGAAGCAGAGATGGTAGCAGTGGGAATGATTTCCATCAAACAGAGGTGTGCATATATATACAATTTGCTCTGAATTGTGAACACACTGCCCCCTGGTGATGTATGTTGCCCCACTGTTTTGGTGACTTGCAAATCCAGAGTTTTATAGGTCTCTTGGAATAATAGGAGTTGTGGCCATACCCTTATCCTGCAGAATAAACTGGACTTACCCCTCTTTACAGGTGTTATTAAAGGTCCCCTAGCCTTTATTTCTAAATCCTAGTGTGTACTCTTCCAAATCTTTTAGGGGCTAATCTCAGTTTATAGGTGGAGGGGAGTCCAAAACCAGCAAAATAGGAAAGCAGCAGAATCTTGTTGGGGTTGTTTGTTTTTGTTTTTTTTTAAGGTGGGGGTACTTACCACCTCCTCGCAGAGGCTTTCTGTCGGGCTTTCGTTTTGGAATGCCTAATGAGGTAGAAGGCCCAGGGCTGTCTTCTTCCTGTGTTGAGGGTAGAGGCTCAAAACTTTGTCTGATTGACAAGTTAATGTATCAGCTTTATGCCAAGTTCTATACTTTGTTACCTGAGGCTTTCTGGCATTTCCTCTGTAGCTTTTTCCTTCTTGCATGCTGTCCCACATTTCAATCTTCTGTCTCCTCTTTTCTTCTTCGAGCTGAGAAAGAATCATTTCTTATATTTGATTTGAGGGGCACTGCAATGAAACTGTTGCTCCCCCGCACAGTGATAAGCTCAGCTCACCAACAGAGCCTTTTTTTTGGGTCCTGTGCACTTGAAAATGGAATAGAAGTTTATGGAACAACCAAGCTGAAGACAGCAGGTGTGGTGTGCAGGTGAGCACAAGAAAGCCTCTTGGAGAGACTAGTAAGTAGCAGTGAAGGGCTGGCCCTGCTCCTCTGTATACCTCAGTGGGGTGCCATCTCAGCAGCACTGGGAGTTGAGGCCAGTGGCCCAGGAGACCCCACAACAAAAATGACTCTGAAAATGAGAGGCTATTTTCATACCCTTTTTTCCTTTTTCGGGGACTAGGGAGAAAAAAGGGGTGGTAGAGACAGCTGCCCTTGGTCACTGTGTGAAGTCCTCTCACCCATACACATGGCCACATTTGGAATGTCTTGAAGGACAAATATGTCCCCATGCCTCAGTTCCTTTGTGTATAGCAAAGGAGTGAGGTGTGACTGGCCTTTTCGCTAAGCAGCCTGGTGCTGTGTGACACCTTGGTTTTTAGGGCATGTGCCCAGGCTGTTCTGTCTTAAAAGCAGCAGAGGCCCTAAGTGGTTGTGTTGATGGGGTTTGAGGCCACACCAAAATGTGTAATGATGTGAGAGGAGAAGAAAAGAGTGGGGCCCCAGTGGGTCGACCAGATGTCTCAGTAAAATGATCCCTCTGACCTCCAGCAGCACGCCTGTGCTTTGAAAGGATAAGAGGAAACATGCATTTTTGGGGCCGGAAGAGCCTAATGAGAAGGGGTCAAGTGTGGCTAGCAGGTTGGGGAGGGCAGCTGCAGGGTGGGTGACCACACAGAAACAACAAAAGGGAAGTGGGAGGACACAGGACAGAGACCCACTCTGCTGGTGCCTTAGCGGCCTCCTGTGAGGGCACAGAGGAGCCCAGATGGAAACATCTGGGCGGAAAAAGAGAGCCTACTCCCCAGGGGTGGTGTGAGAACAGTGCAGGTCGTTTCCGACACTCATCCTTGGTTCTCCCCTTCCTGCTTCCTCGGATGCCCCCAAACTGCACCCTGTGCTTTGCAAAGCTCTTCCAAAATGCCCACTGAACTCTTCAATCCACTGCAGCGTGGCACCCCCGAGGCCAGATCACATGCAACACACAACTTCACACAGAATGGTGTACTGTGTGTGTCTGGTGGTGTGGCATGTGCACACACACACAGACCTCTGTTACGTGAGGCACTGCTGTGAGGGAACCACAAGCCCCAACAAGACACTCCCCCGGGCAGCCGCCCAGTTCTACTGGACACAGTGCTGCAGGCGAGCTGGTCCCAGGGCCCACCTGAGTGTGTGCACACGGTTTTACCCATGCAGCCTCACACCGCTAGGGCCACCTATGCAAAGCGCTTCCTACCTGTCTGAGTTTTTCCTTATGCTTTTCCACCTGTGCGTTGAGTTCTTCCTGCATTTTCAGGCGAGCAGCTGCTAAGGCCTCTTGTCGTTTCACAACAACATCAGGTTCTGCCATGAAAGGAAGAAAAAATTAAGCTAAAAAAGCACTTGGTATTATATAAAATGGAAATTCTTGAGTCTATAGTATTATAGACTCAAGAATTACTCGAGAAATATAGAAAAGCACAGATATTAGGCAGTACAAAAACACATTTCTATGTAAAGAAGGCTACCCTGCCACATATGATTTGGCCTCTTACAGGGCCGACTGTACACGCCAGAGTCCTTGGCCCCAGAAACCTCTCCCTCAGCAACTCCAATTCAGGAAGCCTGGGGAAGGCCCATGGCTGCAATGGCAGCGCTCTGATTGGGCATACCGAGATTTCATTCCAGGACCTGGACGCCACCCAACTCCAGTCTCTGGGTTGACCAGAAGTCTAGAAGACAGCCAAGGAAACTTTTCTAATCATTACCCATCACTTAATTAGTCCAGATTTAGAACAGGGAGAGGGAAAAATTCTTACGTATTTTATCCCTATTAATGCAGAAAAAACTCCAGACAGTATTCACAGAAATCAATACCCCAGCTTTACCGATGTTTTTACGTGGCCTGTGGTAAAGTTATATGAATACACCATGAAGTCTCTACGAGCTCACCTATTCACACTGGTGACCATGTTAAGGACCCCTGAGGGGCAACTACAATCACACGTGTTCTCAAACATATCCCATCTCATTTCAGTTCTCAACCAAGTTGTCCCCAGAAAAAATGTCTCCCTTGTCCAACAAAACCTTCAGTTCTTGACCTGATAACCATTCCATACAGTGGAACCTAGGTTCTGGATTTAATTTGTTCCTTTGCATTTGAGGAGGTAGAAAAAGAGGGATAACGGAGGATATTCCTACTTTACTAAACAGGGAAGCGCAAAGTTTTATTGAGGACTCACCCCAACAAAGCAGCAAACCCTGTGATAAACTTATTCAATGACAAGTGTTTCACTTCAGGCAAGTGTCAAATCACAGGTGAAGCCCTGGCTGGTGTGGCTCAGTGGATTGAGTGCCAGCCTTCAAACCAAAGGGTTGCTGGTTCGATTCTCAGTCAGGGCATATGCCTGGGCTGCAGGCCAGGTCCTCAGTAGGGGGCTCAGAGAGGCAACCACACACTGTTTCTCTGCCTCTCCCCCTTCTCTCTAAAAATAAAATCTTAAAAAAAAACACCAAACCACTTCCATTTTATGGAAATGTGAGTTTCAGTACCATTTCTATTGGCCCATTGTTAGAATAAAATCAAGTATAGTTTTTTTAACCTTGTTCTCACTAAAATTGGGTACCACCTTTCACTGCAGTTACGTTCTGTAGTGCTTCCTGAAAACTAGCCTCTTTGACATGCCATCCCATCACCACCACCTGGCACTTCATGAAATCCTGCATCTTATGCAAGATTTACAATTGCACTCTGTACTTTGTTGGTGGACATGCACGTAGCCAACAACCAAAAAGACTGAGAATGGCAGGACCACAGGGTTTCAGAGGAGTGGAGAGAAGCGTGTTGGAATGAATGATTCTTTTGTTACTACACCTGCTTTCCAGCCCAACCTCCGTAACCATGGTGACTCAGATGAGTGACATCTGTATTTAATTATGCTGCTACTCTCAAAGCACTTAACATTTCTTTGGGATGTCCTCAGAAACTGTAGCTTCAAACTACAGTTTCTAAGTGGTGAAAAGGCTACCATTTCAGAGAGAATGCTTTAATAAATAACCAAGTACAATTTTGTCAGGCCTGATGAGTTATAAATCAAAATATAATGAAGTACCAAACCTGAGTTTCTCCTCACTCATAAAGGTCTGAAAGACAACTCAGAGTTAACAGGCAGACCCATGAGTGAAGTTTTCAATTTAACCCATCCTGTAAGTGAAAAACCCTCCAACAAGAAATCTCTGACGTGAGACGATCTGTTGCACGTTCACCAAAACCGATCTCGGAAGCACACAAAGGTTCCGTTCCCATACTTCTTACTCCGAACAGCAGCCCGGATTTGCAATCAGTTACTAACCCACAGCAGCCGCGGCTCGGTCCAGCTGCCTCTGCCTCAAGGCTCGCAGGCGGGTGGAAAGCTTCTGAAAGATCACGTACAAAAGGATGCAGCTGAAGACGATGTACCAGCCGTAGGTGGCCAGCAGAGAGCCCACTGGAAAAGAAAACCGTTTGCAAGAAGCTAACAAAATTTTACTACTGGGGATAAAGAGAAGACTTCCTGCAACTCAGGAGGGCAGAGGCCTCTCAGACCCCGGGAATGGAGAGAAAGGGGTGGCGGTCGGAGGCTGGTGCGGCGCGGGGTGTTACAAGTGTGGGCGGGCAGGGGAGGGCGGGGCACAAACGCCAAAGGCCCAGAGATCCTAGAAACCGCACCCCAAGAGTTGCTTCGCAAAAAGTAAATAAAAAGCCGGATGGCGCCGCCCGGGGAAGTGCGGCTCCAGGAAAGTTACGTTTCCCCTAACCCGGCCCGGCACGCCGCCCAGGAAAATGCGGCTCCAGGAAGGCCAAGGCCTCCCCAGGCCCGGTGCGGGCGCAGCCCAGCCCGGTCGGGCGCACCGCGGAGGAAGACGCACCGAACATGGCGGCGCCACCCCGCTTCCCCGCGGCCCGTGGCAACTCACCAGTGACGTGCAGGAAACGCAGGCCCTCCGTCTCGAGAGCCGGGCGCGCGGACAGCTGCTCCCCATCCCGCTCCATGGCGGCCGGAGCTCAGCCGGGTCCCGCCGCGTCAGCCTTAGGTCGTCGCTTTCCGGCCCGCCCCCACGTTACGCAATCGGGGCGGGCCTCGGCAACCTGACCAATCACAGCGGAGTGGGCGGGGTCAGGAAATCCGCCGAGCCCCCGGCCGTCTCCGTCTCCGCACTGAAGAGCCCCTGCGCCCTCCCAGGGGGTCCATCGCTGACCTACTTGTGCACTTAGCGAGTGTTTACTTTTGTACCCAAACAGGGTAGCCTGCTCCTGCTGCCGGCGTTACCTTTTAGTCTAAGAAAGCCTCATCGATCCTCATCATGTTTTTCCTCCCCTCCAGAATCAAAACCTCTTGAGATGAATGATAGCAATGGCTGTAACACTCAATTTCACTGTCACAGAACACTCGCAGTTATTGGTGCTGTTGCCGCTGCCTGTAATGCCCTCCACCCATTTCCATTCCTCACCCGCCACCCACCACCTCTCAGGCCGTATTTGCAATTTGACTTGGAGGAGTTTTTTTGGGGCGAAAGGCTTTGAAGTGAACATACCTAGCAGTCCCAAAAGCTGACAGAATTTTTTAAAGAGAAAATCGTAGGCTCCCTTGATACTAAACCTAGTTTTAATACCTGACCTAATTGCTGTCTCAATCTCTCCCAGAAACATAGTTAAGTAGTCTGGAATTTTCTGGTCAGGCACCAGTAAAGCATCTGTCACAATCCCTCTCTCATCCCCACCCCAGGAAGAAGAGGCAATCTACATAATGAAAACTGTTGCCATTCCCTCCCCTCAAAGATGCTCCCCCATCTAATAATCCTTCTTTCTTTTTTTACTTTAAATTTGAGCCACGCTGGCAACATACACAGGGGGAGCAAGATCTCAAATACTCCCCTTTCCTTTCTTTTTCAATAGCTCCCTTGCCCCACCTTTCTTCCTACAAAAACCTTCCACTTTTTTTTTATAACCCCTCTGAGTGCCCTTCTAGTTGCTAGATAAGATGCTGCCTTGATGCAGACACCAGCTCGCAGTGTCCGTGTCATTATGGATGAAATGAGACATTCACACAGACTACTGAGTCCGGTGGAGGAAAAGGGACAGCATGGTTTTTCTTTCAAGGGGAGCAAAAGCCACGGCCTCTGCCATGACAGGCCTTTATTTCTATCTGTGGGCACATTACATGATGGTCCTCATTTCCTATGCACAGGTTTGCTTTAGGTGGTTACCTTTTACAGAAAACAAAGGAGCCAGTGCTGCTAATCACATCACAGAAGAGGGATATTTGCAAATGAAAAGGGAAAGGTGGTTGAACCAGTTACACTCATCCTTGGAAGGTTTAGCATGGATTTTAGGAAGTTACTTTGCAGTAAATGTCCTCAATTCAGGGTGAGAGAGTTTTTAGCAAAAAGCAAGACTCAAAGCAGCCTAGGTACATTGCAGGCCTGATTCCCCCACGGGACAACCTATCCGTGGGCGTGAGTCCTGTGCATCTCCAAGAGGGAGCTGGGCCCACACCACACAGAATGGTCTCCTACACTGCCTGATTCATGACTCACTTAATAAAGCCGATTAGATCTTCACATTTATTAGGTTGAATTTTTTTGACACCTCTTTAAAAAATGTTATTTATTGATTTGAGAGAACTATCAATTTGTTGTTTATGCACTCATTGGTTGAATTCTTTATGCACTCATTGGTTAAATTATCAGGTGTGCCCTAACTGGGGATAGAACCCTCAACCTTGGTGTATAAGGACAAAGCTCTAACCAGCTGAGCTACCTGGCCAGGGCTAAAACCTGCTTGTTTGCCTCTCACTTGTAAAAGGTGAGCCATCGCTCATTGCTTTGAGGTGGGTTTTCATTTATTCTGACATCTTAAAGACCCTGTGCTAAAACTGAATGCTTACAATTGTAATACTTGGTCTGGGAGCAGCTTTAAGTATACAGTCAAATCCTGATTCTCAAATGTCTCCTACCCTTTTTTTCTTTTTTAATAAGACAGCCTCTCTCCTGCCCCCCAAATTTTTATTTAATTTTAGAGCGAGGGGGAAGGAGAAAGAGTAAGAAAAACATCAATGTTTCTGTTCTCTCGCATGCCCCCAACTGGGGACCTCATCTGCAACTCAGGCAGGTGTCCTGACTGGGAATCAAACCTGTGACCTTTGCCTGTTTGCAGGCCAGCGCTCAATCCATTGAGCCACAGCCACCAGGACTCTTTTGTTGAGATTTTATGTTTATTTATTTATTTAGAGAGGGAGGGAGAAAGAAGGAAAGAAACAGCAGTGTGTGGTTGCCTCTCATACACCCCTAGTATTGACTTGGCCAGCAACCCAGACATGTGCCCTGATTGGGAATCAAACCAGTGACCTTTTAGTTCTCAGGCTGGTGCTCAACCCACTGAGCCACACCAGTCAGGGCAACTGTCTCTCATTTTGAACAATCCTATTCTCAATGAGGTCATTCACGGAAAAAGTGTGTGCAATCAGTCACATGTCTCGGGTGACAAAGGAGAGGATGTACAAGTATGAATAGTTTTTTTTTGTTTTTTTTTAACAAATTGCTTCTCAAACAGCTTTTCAGAACAAATTAAGTTCAAGAACCAAGGTTCCGCTGTATTGTGAACTGCAGTACCATGCATCTGTGCATGCGTGCATGCGCACACAGTATGACAGGCTCATTCAACTCAGATTTCATCGATTCTGAGTTATTAGAATGCATGAATGATGGTCTCCACTTTCAATCCCTCACATATTGTTCTGTGGTCCCATTCTTTCTAAACTTTGTCCCTTTAATCAGGGCGTGTTCTCCCCTAGCTTGCCAAGAACCATAGTTATTTCAGCAAACAACTGCTCAATGCAGCTGCTCAGGTGTTGTTTGCTGAAACAGGTCAAAGGTAGTATCCGGAATTCCATCCCTGACTGACCATGTTAAGACTGATTTGCCCAGGCTGGTCGTGTGGCTCAGTGAATTGAGTGCTGGCCTGAGAACCAAAGGCTCAGCAGTTCGATTCCCAGTCAGGGCACATGCCTGGTTGGTCCCCAGTAGGGGGTGCGTTGGACACAACCACACATTGATGTTTCTCTTCCTCTCAAAATAAATAATCTTAAAAAAAAAAAGATGTACTTGGCCCAATTCATTACTTTACAACCCATATCCTCACCACAGCCTCCAGGTAGGGGAGTTCCCCAGCCCTTGACTTGAAATGCGGCCAGGTGTCTTGCTTTGGCTAATAGCAAGTAGGCGGAAGTAATTGTGTCAATAGTGCAGGCCTAAGAAGTTTCTAGTGTTCCTTTCCTTCTTGCACCTTTGCCCAGTTAACCAACTTGTCCACAGACCCGTGGGCAAAGCAGAGCCAGCTGTGTGAATCAACAGTGGTTGCCAACTAAAACTCAAGTTCTGGGGTGGAGGCCACACCTCCACCACAGTTTTTAGAGGAGTCAGTGGGCTCTCACAGGGTGAAAATTGTGATAAAGTGTGGAGTTGTGAGGATGGGGGCAGCCATGACTCCCCCATGACGTCCTGAACATTAGCATGTGCTCCTCCAGTTCTTCAAATCAGTAATTCACTTGCACGATGTTTATGCAATAAAAACTCTAAAGGATGCTGGTTCTGGTAAAGCCCTAAAGCCCGGCTGCCTGGAATGAAGCTCGCTATTCCGTATGCAGAAGAAAATGCTCCTGCCCTGGATGGCATAGCTCAGTGGATTTAGCACGGGCTGCGAACCAAAGCATCGCAGGTTCGATTCCTAGTCAGGGCACATGCCTGAGTTGCAGGCCACGGCCCCCAGTAACCGCACATTGTTGTTTCTCTCTCTTTCTCCCTCCCTTCCCTCTCTAAAAATAAATAAATAAAATCTTAAAAAAAAAAAAAAAAGAAGAAAAGAAAAAGAAAATGCTCCAGATGGCAGGTTCTCACAATCCATCACTGGCAGCATGCACACTCCTGAGTTTTACTAAGGATTGAAGTGTCTAAACCAGGGGTGTCAAACTCATTTTCACCAGGGCCCACATCAGCCTCACGGTTGCCTTCTACTAAGGGCAGAATGTGATTTTATAGTCCTCAACAGTTAAGGAGTAGTTACATGTATACAGTCTAAAACTTATTCCGGCCCTTTGAAGGCAACCGCGAGGCTGATGTGGTTCCCCGGAAACGTGAGTCTGACGCCCCACTCTAAGCACTTTCTCCAGGACCAGGAAGCCCAGTTAGAGACAACACCCTCCTGCATTTCCATTTACAGGCGCCCACACCACTCACTGCACGCCCAGCCCAATGACACGCAACTTGGCAGCACAGCGAGTGTCCTTTATTTTTACTCTTTGTAGAAAACAGGAATCTAAATTTCCAATGTTCTATTAAAAAATGACCAGCAGCAGCTTGCAGCGTTTCCACAATGCTCGGGAACTCTCTGCTGACACAAACGAGGCTACTGTTCCACATTCAACAGGTAGGGCTTGTCCCACGCCAGTGTCGCAGGGCCTGTGGAAGCTTGGGCCTCGCTGCTCAGGACCCGTTTGTGACTGTGTCCTCTTCCATCTCCTCCTCGCCATCGTCAGTGGGGCCTGGAGGAAAACACAACCCAGAGTCACGTTGACGTCAGAGAACGCGCTCTCTCAGCACGTGCGTGCCACGCCGCGCACAAGGCACGAAAGCCCAACGGCAGCCTCGGCCCTTGAGATGCTCACGGCCCAGCGACCTTCGGGCTCTGGCAGGTGGGCAAAGGGACAGCCAGTTCCCAAAGGAAAAGGAAGATCGCACAGGCGTTTTATGGAAGCCCAACTCCCTGCCTACCTCCCCAACTCATTCACGCAGCCGTCACCCAGCCCGGCGCACGCGTGCTTCCTTGTCTGCCAGGTCCCCCACCCCCAGCCCGGAGCTGTGCCCACAGGGGCCTCTTTCCGCTCAAGTGTGCGAGGCCGCCTTGTGCCGGTGTGGAGTCAGAAACCGTATGGATGAATGGCTCATACTTTCTCCCCTGAAAACCCACTGGTCCATCTTGTACCATTTATCATGCAGGAGCTTAGATCCCTGGGAAGCCCAGGTTCCCCGAACTCTGCAGATGGTGACCCACGTCATTGCACAGCATAAAAAAATCACATTCGTGCCCTGGCTGGTGTGGCTCAGCCAGATTGGGTGCCGGCCTGCGAACCAGAGGGAAGCAGGTTCAATTCCCATTCAGGGCACGTGCCTGGGTTGCAGACCAGGTCCCTGGCAGGGGGCATGCAAGGGGCAAGCACACACTGCTGTTTCTCTTCTTTCTCTCTTCCCTCTCCTTGCTCAAAAAATAAATAAAAAATTAAAAAAAAATCACATTTGTGAACATCACTGATTTCCTCGGAAAACTCTGCAAATGCTGCAAGGCTGTCATGGCTGCAGTTGTGGGTAAAAGTTTTCTAGTGTTTTACTCTGCTTGAAAGTTTGAATTTTATCTCTGGTAAACAAACACCATGAGTTGTCTTGCTTGAAGCAATAGGCTCCCCTGGTGTTTGAGAAGAGGCCTGTCTCTCAATTGGACAGTTGCAGACGCTTTATCATAGGCTTGTACTCCTAGAACCTGTGTCATTTCACTAACTGATGTCACCCCAATATGCTAAAAAAGAAAAAAACAACCCAAACCAGCCGCAGTCAAACACCCAATGTAGGGTAGGGAGAAGCCCCTCACCCGACACCCCCGGCTCTGTCACCCAGAGCATCTAAAAGATGCGCACTCAAGGGTGGTATTTCATAAAAAAAGTAATTCTCATTGCTTCCTGAAGGACATTCCTAAGCAAAACACCTGAGTGCTTTTACAGCAAGTTTCAAACTCACAACCCCCCAGGGGCCGAAAGACCACAGAGAACCCCTGGCCTGCTCACTGCCTTCCTCCTCTTCTGCCTCACTCCAAACTCTCTTTCCCCAGCTGCCGGTCTAGCCGGGGGCTCCCATCACATCCAGAGCAAAGCTGGCAATTGCATTCTTCTGAGTGGTTTTTAATTCACACCCCCAGTGCCCAAGCTGCCTGACACAAAGCTACCATCATGTTGGACCCTGTGCTGTGTGGCACCTCGGAAGTGTCTTAGTCTTCCCAACAGCGTCTGAGGGCGGCACTATCATCATCTCAGGTTTCGAGATGAAGAAATGGATTTCAGAGTGGGTGGGGACTGGGAAATTCACCCGAGGACAGAGCCGGTGAGGCTACGACCTGAGCCTCCGGCTGGGTGCCCCTTGGGCCTGCGTTCAGACTGCTCAGCCAGCCTGGCCGCACACGGGAGCGAGTCCGCACCAGGTCCCCTCGTGTTCGGTCTCAGGCCACGGCTGTGCAGTGGTGTCTGCGTCAACATTCACACAGACAAGCCCCCGAGTCCTGTAACACGGCATGGTCTATCAGATCGTTTCTCCCGGAAGAGCATTTAACAGGATCTCGTGAACATTTGGTCAGAGGCGATGAGGCGCTGCGCTCTGGCACTCCGGGCTCGCAGCACCCCAGCTGCTCTGGAACCACTGCCGGGGAACACGCACTGCAAGCGCACGGGCAGAGCGTGCTCTCCTGACCTGATCTGCGCTCCCTGCCGGGGATCTGGCCCGACTGCAGCAGGCCCTTCAGCCTCTCCACCTCGGCCAGCGTGGACGCGTTCGCGATGGCATTCTGGGGACACACAGAGGACACGGGCAGTCAGTTTCAGCTCGGTGCTCCGACCACCCAGACAGCACCTACAGAAACTCACAGCACCTTTCTGAGTTGCAACATTAAACAGTTCTGTGTTCAGGGGGAGAATTTGATTGGCATGTTGAAATCAAGCAGAAAACCAAATCATTACATTTCCAAAACTGATAAAGAAATGCAGACACTCCAGAGCCCTGGCTGGCGTAGCTCAGTGGATTGAGAATGGGCTGCGAACCAAAGCATCGCAGGTTCGATTCCCAGTCAGGGTACATGGCTGGGTTGCTGGCCATGGCCCCCAGCAACCACACATTGATGTCTCTCTCTCTCTCTATCCCTCCCTTCCCTCTCTAAAAATGAATAAATAAAATTAAAAAAAAAAAAGACACTGAGTATGAATCTAACTGTCCATTAAAAAACAAACAAAAAAAGAAATGCAGACCTTCCAATAGGAGAAAAAAAAATCATTTCATATGTCCTAAAACGCCAGCAAATGGAATTACCTACTGGGATTATGTTACTGGATAATTTAGCAAGCAATATTGTACAATTATCAAGCAGGACCTTTGGGACAGTAAATCTCTCAAAGCAAAAACTACGGCCAACATCGGCACAGCATCCAGAGGGACCAACTGTTCAGAAGCACACATTCTGGGGAAACGAGGAGAACCAGAGCTGCCTCCACTTCCCTGGCTGGCCAAATAATAGCTTCAAGCTTGTTTCGCGTTACACGCAAATACAGCTGGATTCTGACAACTGCGGGGGAACCAGCGGTGTTTGTAACTTGATGCATTATGTAACTGTGTCTCACACCTGTGGAGCGCTCTTGGGCCCGGGTTCTAATGCATCATTATTACCTTGATGGCTTCCACATCCCCCGGGGACGGACCACCTTTCTTTTTGTCAGTCGGCAAACCGGCCCCTGGATTGAACCTTGGGAGGGGAGGGAAGAACAAGACAGTCAAACCCAGACCGACGGATATTGCTTCTCTTCTACTTTCAAAAAGCTTTTGAAAGTAAAATCCAACCAGTGTAGTATCTTATCTTTGTTAACAAACTGATACAAGCAACTGTCTCCTTCAGAAACACCACAGCGTTCATCTTCCCAGACAAAGCGGGGCGCGTGCAACAGGGCGTTAGGACTGAATACTGCAACGTCCGCCCCGCTAACCTGGTCGAAACCTTGTGTGACGCGGGGACCGCAGACGGTCGGGAACTTAGCGTCACGCAAATTTAATGCCGGATCAGTGGCAGGTGTCTCGTTAGCGTTTGTGGGAGGCGCACGGCCAGACAGAGAGTGTTTCTGAAGGGGAAGTAGAGTGAAGTCAGACGACCGTATCTTACGTTTTGCTTCTCCTGGCAATATCCTTTGCAAGCTGTGCACCCCTCTTGCCCTTGAACATTTTCTCTGCTTCCTGACGCTCCTACAGCAACACCACACACAGAGTTAATGGAAGTAGGAACACCACGTGCATTTAGATGCAATCCTCAGAAAACAGGGAAGGAAGCTCTGCTGGAGTTTTGGGGGCTGGTAAAAATACCAAAAAAACCCCAAAAAACAAAAAACCCAAATCAAAAAACAAAAACAAACAAACAACAACAAAAAAGCCAATTCCAAGTTCAAAGGAGACACAATGGCTTTGCCTTTTCTGGCGAAGCGCCCTGAAGCAAAGCCCTCTCCTTGTTTTGAGGGAGGTGGGGGCTTCCAAAGAACTAAGTTGCTTTAAAAGAAAAAAACATTTCCCAACTAAAGGGATCACTCTAATGATTCAAGGTGCTGAAAAACAGACGGCATTACGTTCCCCAGCGGGAACGGCCTGCTGTCGCCAGTGCTCACCGGGGCTCTGAGCCGCTGCCACCCCCGGGGCGCCCAGCGCCACACACGACAGCTTCCACTCCGGGCCCCACCACACACTCTGCTGTGAAAACCACCTGACATTTTCTTTCCCACGTTTTTATTCAAAACCGATAGTAAAACTCGTGAGGCAATTGTAAAAAATGAGTCAACAAGTATCAAATATCAAAAATACAGATCAGCCCTGGCTGGCGTGGCTCAGCGGGGTGGGTGCGGTCCCACAGGACGAAAGGCTGCACCGCAGGCTCGGTTCCCGGCCAGCGCTCAGGCCTGGGCTGTGGGTCAAGTCCCAGGTTGCGGCCTCGTGCAGGAGGCAGCCAACCCACGTTCCTCTCTCACACTGACGTTTCTCTCCCTCCTTCTCCCTCCCTTCCCCCCTCTCTAAAAGTAAATAAATAAAATCTTAACATGCACCCCCCTCCCCCCAACAAATCGGTATGACTTATATGATCAACCAAATAATACTTACTTTCAGTTTCACCTTCTGGAAATCCAGCACTCTGACTTGTGGAACTTTATAAATTACATACAGTCTGTAATGCTTCTTATTTGTTACAGGATTTCTCAGAAGACTACGAGAAAAGGAATACTATCATGCCAACTTTGCTCGTAGCATAGCATTCGAGGGGTTCCTTTTAATAAAATCTAGTGAGTCCATAAATCAAGGAAAAGTCCACTACTCTTCACATTTAATTTCAGTGTCATAACAACTTAAGTAACATTGGGGACATTTTAATAGAGCCCTGGGCTAAAAAAAATATTTTCAATATTTGTTTTTAAAAGGTGCCTTTTTTTCAGTGGTATAAAAAAATTAAGATTCATATATGAGTTTTAAAATAAAATTGTTAAATTAAAAAAGACTGCCCCCTCCATTACAGTTTACATACATTATCTGTATTAGTTTCAGGGGTAGGTGTACGGCAAGGTCAAAGGTATTTGTTACGAACTAGAGGCTCTAAGGTCAAGGCCGTAAGGGTGTCACGTCAAAGGGCCTCCACGTCTCCACCATGGGGGAGTCCCGTACCTTAGGTAAGTCAGTGACTTGAGAGATGCCAGAGGGTCCAGGTCGCCCTGCAAGACAACAGCTGCGGGTGAGCACACAGGCGCTGCGCCCCGACCCACACCGGGGAATAGCGAGGCCTTCGGAGCGAGGACCCATCCCGCCTTTCACTTTCTTTCTGCTCCAGGACCTGACACATTTCTACCGAGTGAACTGGTAATATAAACTTGAGCTTCTTACACTGAGCATCTTGGCCATAACAGCTTCTTCTCAACAATGATGACGTCTAGATAGTTTTTTAAAAAATGTAATAAATATATGACAAGTTGAGTGGGGGTTTGAAATGTTTAAGGACCCTGTACTGCTCAGGAGGGGAAGGGTATTGGTTAACTTTAAGCTTTGGTAAATACGTATGTTTTCCTTCTTAGAATGCTAACAATAGAGACTATTTAATAATTAATTTCTAAACTGTTACAGAAAAAATGGAAGGAACAAAAAGAGCGAAACAAAAGAGTGTGAGGGAGAAATAAGGAAGAGAAAAAAAAACACGAATGAGCAGGACGAGTTCTGGAAAAAGGACAAACACACACAGGTCAGTAATCACATCAATATAAACAGGCTGATGATTTCAGAGACAGATGTCAGGGTGCATTGTAAAATACCCTATCATATGCTGTTCTCAGGAGACAAACCTACAACAGAAAGGAAATAAACACTGGGGGCCTATTTCGGATGGGAGAAAGCTGATCGTGCAAATATGAACGAACAGGAAGCTGGTTTTGGTGTATGATGGCAGACAAAGCAGGAACACACAACAGCGCTGATAAGACATGGGGAGGGTCACAACATAACGATAGAGTGGTTCAGCTCCCAGGAAGGCACTAACACTTAAACTCTGTATATATCAAAGACGATAACCTGAGGATACAAAAAACTAAAATGGACAGAACTCCAGGGAGACTGTCCAGTCCACGATCACGCGAGATTTACCACCCCCTTCAGGAACAGGGAGGACAGACTCAGCCTTCCTCATTGTGAAAAGCGTTAAACACCGTTGCAAATCACAGAACCGCGCAGGCAGCCCTATCATGCCCCACATTCCCTGCGAGGGTGCGCTCTGGGACGAGTCCCTCTGCTACTGCAGAAAGGACGTGGCCTCAGACAGGCCGGTGCTTCTCACTCTGGAGTCAAGCACTCCGCTGGGAACCTGAAGAAGCACAAACCTGGCCCATCAGGAGAGGAACAATCAGAGAAATGGGGAAGGGAAGCAAAGGAAAAAATAGCCCCAAGTCCAGTTATGTAAGAGGGACCTAAACGTCCAGCATTTCAGGGGAAAATCTGGTTACCAAACAATACATAGTATGGGCTCAATTTTGTTAAAACCCATACATACGGAGAAGAAATTTAAAAAGCATAAAAAGAAATGTCAAAATATTCAGATCCAAGTAGGGAAAACAAAATTTACCCCTCATCTCACGGGAAAACCGAATCTGAGTACTGTGGGTTGCTGATCTGAATGCGAAGAGCAAACACAAGTTTCTAGAACAGACTCGTCCAACAAAATTTAACACACGTCACACACGTAATTTCACATTTCCCAATAACTGCATTAAAACAGAAAAACAAATGAAACTAATTGTAATGGTATTTAACTTATTTTTCAGAATATGATCATGTCAACACCCATGCAACAGAAGCACGGACAGCTGACACCCTCTTCTGCTTCCCTGTGGCCCAGGCGGAAAGCGGGCGCGCGGCCGGCAGCTCTGAGGCGTCGCCCCTCAGCGGCCGCCGGGGCCAGCGGCCGCCCTACTGGGCGCTGTGATTCTACAGGACAGGACGACACTGGAGAGTTTCTTCACGACCCTGGGGTAGGGGACGCTTAACGAAGCATCGAAAGCACTAGAAACAACAATAACAAAGACTACAACAGAGACTAAATAAAAACTAGACTATACCAAAACTAGGAAATACTCCTCCAGAGACCCTCAGAAAGCCGAAAGGCAACCTACAGAGGGGGGAAAGGACTCTTGCAACTGAGGAAGGCCGGCGTCTGGAACGAATTCAGAAAAAGGCAAAGAAAAAGGGCGATGAGATAACCTTCTGGAATTAAAAGCTCTGCAAGAATGAGGAACCTTTAGCCCCTCCCTCCAGATCCATTTCGGCCCCTGGTCATTCCGCTTACCAGCTCCACGAGGCTGTTGTTGGTGAGGACGAGTTCCGTCAGGCAGGGCAGGGCCTGGTCAAGCCCCTCTCCTACGCGGCTGAAATCAGAACACACGCCCTCAGTGAAACACACGCCCTCAGTGAAAGCGACAAGGAAGTCAGCTAACGGTTTCTTCTAAGTCCTTGCTTGGAGGGTCTCGGACTCCCAGATGGGAAGAACTTCAGAGAGTTGTCTTCCAACGCCTCCCCACCTTACCCATGTGACAGAGGCACAGGAGGAAACCTGGCCAAGGTCACAGGCTGAGGGACGGAAGCAGCAGGATTTTAGAGCTCATGCCTTTTAAAAGTGGTCTGGGCCCTTCCCACCACCACAGTGCCCAGTGACACCCAAGGAAAGGAGCAGCTCCCACACAGAACCGACTCCAGGCCTGGCTTCTGCGCAGGCGGCACAGAAACCCCAGCGACACTGCACTCACAGCGCAGGCGCAAGACACACACACACACCACCTATTGCACAGGGAATGGTTAATGCCCGAGAAATATGCCTAGTGGCAAATGTGTACAAACCACCATGTGTCTAATTAATGGATTGATTTTTTAAAAGAATTTATTTACTTTTAGAGAGAGGGAAAGGGAGGGGGAAAGAGGGAGAGAAACATCAACGTGCGGTTGCTTCTTGTGCACCCCCTACCGGGGACCCAGGCCACAATCCATGCAGGTGCCCTGACTGGGAGTCGAACTGGTGACCCTTTGGTTCGCAGGTTGGCACCCAATCCACTGAGCCACATCAGCCAGGGCAGCATGTGTTTAATTTAAATTAGAAGCTTACCATGAACATATATACAAACAGACTAGATTTGTGCATAGATACAAGTCAGTCTAGACCAATGCCAAGTCAGGCTCTGCTCTGTACGAGAAACATGCGGCTTGGTTCTCATTTCAAGAGAAAACGTGCATGTGTGGCCAGCAGCAGGTACTACAGCTTCTTCAGGGAACTGTGACATTTACACTAGGGGGAAAAAACACTTCCCACTAGCAGACACTTACCATATTCTGTTGTTGTTCACCAGTAATGTTTTCAGTCTCCTCAACAAAGGAAATCCATCCAGTTTCCTGATTTCATTGTCAGAAAAATCAATAGCATCAAACTGGTCTAAGGTCGCACCCAGATTTTCAATGACAGGAATTTTATACCCTGTGAAGTAAAAAAATAAATAAATAAATAAAATAAACCCATCAAGTACTAATAGAGTTAAAGGGAATCTTAACACATTAGCAGTACTTCCTGGTAATTTGACTCAAAGCTATCATTCATTCAGAAGGGGTTTACTAGCACCTACGCCAAACACTGCAAGGTACTGGCCTATAAAATGAGGAACAGAGGCTCAAACCCCGGCTGCTATGAATCCTACGGACCAGTGATGGTCATGAAGGCAGTGATAACAAGGTCAAGGGCGGTGCTGATGGTGATACTCACCACCAGTGATACTGGTAGCTAACGCTTGTTGAGAACACCTGCAAGGTTCCTCACACGGTTCTGTATGGCCCGGGGGCTGGTTAAATGTCCTAACAGGAATTTACACGATGATTTGCTTACACAAAGCATCCACACCTTTTTCATACAGGGTGGACAACAGTGTCGCATTCATGGAACTCACAGGGTAGCGTCACCATACCACGACATTCCTCTTACTTCACCTCCCCCCGGCTCCAATCCAGAGTTGAAGGTCAATGGTTTAAACACAATGGTAAATTGCTCTACGCGCACTTCACTCAAGTTCTCACCAGTGTGTCTTAATATGCACATAATTGTTGTGCTACTTGCTAGAAGAAGAGAAGTGAACCCAGCCAAGGTTAGAGTACACAATTCAGAGGTGGAAGGGCTACATCAAAGTCAAGGACCCAAACCAGGATCCTCAACACTCCACGCACTGCAGAGGCGGGGAGAAGGCAGAGAGCCCCCTATGCCAAGGCAGTGAGACTGGGCAGTTACTCTTAAACTGAATCTTTCTCTAAGGCACTTAATTTTACCAGAATATAAAAGTACTGGGTTTCATCAGCAAGGAATCTAAGCAGAAAATAGTGCCACCTCCTGAGACCCTGTGGTCCCCACGGGAGCAAATTTCAGGCCAAGGCTGTATTATCTCGTCCCAAGAGAAGCTGCTGTTCACGCCCTTCCTAAAGCCATCTTCTGATATGCTGATTCCATCACGTACTCCCTGATTTCTCTCCAAGCTCTCTAAGGTTGAAGTCTGTACAGGAGTCTGAATAGTTCAGGGAGCCTTCGCAGCTGACACACGGCAATCTTGATGAAGCCATTTGCTCCATGAAACATATGGATGAAAGGTAAATACGAGACAATTGAAGCTAATAAGAAGGAAATACAGGGGAAACGATCGATTTTGTTCCCGGACTTCGTTTCCGCCCTCACCAATTAGAAATAATTAACACGTATCCTATTTACACTCTCACGGTATCATTTGAACGTATTTACGGAGAACTAATAGCTCGCTCTGCACTAGGATTACAAACACGAAGTACAAGGGTGGGCAAAAGCAGGTTTACAGTAACTAAAAAGTAATAACTCGAAAATAAACTGTTTCGCGTACTCAAAACGGTAAACCTCCTTTTGCCCACTCCTCTGTATTTCCGCCCTCAAACGGTTCAGGTTGAGGTTCAGCCGAAGCAAAGCCGAACACAGGCCCCAAGGATATGGATGCCAAAGTCCCTTTAACCTCGTCGGCCGCGTGAGGAACCTAAGGGATGGTCATTTGCCAACACCCACAAGACCCAATCCGGAGCGGTCCGGGCACAGCCCGCCACTTTGGGGCCCACGATGCAGGCCCCGCGGGCCGAGCTCCGGCCGTGGGCGCACGCGGCAGGGCGCGGACCAGCGGTGAGGTCCGGGGACGGCCCGCCCTCTCCCCAGACTCACCACGGAGGTCCAGCTCGCGGTCCCGCACGGCGTTGGTGTACTGCGCCGCCTGCTCGATCAGCTCCGCCGTCAGCTTCACCATCCTGCAGCCCCTACTCGCGGTGCGCGGCGCGCCCGCTGCCTCCCGCCAGCCAGAAGTCCCGGCGTGCCCCGCGCCCTCCGCCAGGCAGCACCAATCGCACGACGCAGGCGCCCGCAGCTCAACGTCCAGACAGAAGCAATGGAAGAGCCACGCCCCCTATCTCATTCTTCTCTGAGGTCCTGGCACACCTGGACCACGTCCCTGGTTCTGGTTCCTTTCCCTGGGGCGTGTCGGGAATCAGGATCAGGAGGGACCCTGACTCCAGACATGTGTATCCGCTAGTTAAGCAAAATATTAAAGCACACGAGTGGGACATTCTCACGTGCCAGTGCACCTGGAGGTGAACGGAGAGCTGCGACAGTCCTCACTCTACTCGGAAGGGGCGGCAACCCGTGGGTCCAGGATTTCAGATTCCCGTACGGGTTCTGGTCTTTGGCACCGGGCTGCAACGTGAGAACCGGGGGTGGGTCGCTCGCTCGCGGCCAGACCTCTGAGACCGTCCTACCAACTGGCACGTCAGTCCAAGCACAGGGCATGGTCGAGTTTCTGGTTAGGTCTGTTCTGACAAATATTTATACTGACGCAGGATTTACAGAAAACTGCGCAAATCAGAAGTCTGAACGGTAACGAATGAGCACAGAGTGAGCTCACCTGCTAGCTGCCACCAGGGTGCCGAAAAGGAACACTATTCCGAAAGCCTCCGATCTGAGGATGATAATTTTATTTCTTCTTTTACGATTTTTATAATAGTTCTTTTTATTTTATTTATTGGTTGGGGGGAGAGAAACATCCATCTGTTGTTCCACTTATTCACGCATTCATTGGTTGCTTCTTGTACGTGCCCTGACCAGGGATCAGACACGCAATCTTGGCCTGTGGGGATGATGCTCTAACCAGCTGAGCTACCTGGCCAGGGCCTAGACTACTTCTACTTGTGCAAGATTCCTCACAGAAGTAAGGACACGTGAACTAGATAGAAATTCCAGGAAACCTCAGACAAACACACTGAGGGACAGTCTACAGATAACTACCAATAACAGCCTCAGTCTTTAAAGGGTTCAAAGTCATGAAAGTCAAAGAAAGGCTGAGAAAAGGTTCTCGATTGAAGAAGACCAGAGATATGAAGACTAAATGCAGAGTGTGATTCCAAATGCAAAGTGTGGTCTAGACTGGGTCACTTTGCTAAGGGCATTCCTGAGACAACTGGCAAAATTTGGATCCATTCAGAAGATCGGACAGTAGTAATATATCAAAGTGAATTTCCTGATTCCGTTGGTTATGCAGGAGAAGGTCCTTGTTTATAGGAAATAGCCTCTAAAATATTTAGGGGTTAACAGTGTATCATAGCAGTAATTTTCTTTCAAATTGTTCATGAGAAAATTTCTTTGTGCTATGCAACTTTTCTATAATTTTGTTTTGCGGTTGTTTTTTTAAAAAAAGTTAAAAATATCCAAACTTCACATAATTCCAGAGAAGCCCACCAGGTGGCAGGCTTAGATCACAGAGCTGGTTTTACTTGCTGTTTGGCTTGCTGGATTTTTTTTTCAAAAAATAAAAAAGGTTTCTTTACTTTTAGAAAGGAAATTTGTATGGGTTTCTGTTGCTTCAGCACATGATCTGAGAGAGGAATCAAACTTAGAAAGTTTTATTAATTTTAGGATATCTCTATGAAGTTGAGAAAAGATTTTTTAAATTTAATTTCTTTGGGCTAGGGTTTCTCAGCTTGGTATAGTTGACATTTGGAAGCTGGATGATTCTTTATTGTGGGAGCTGTCCTGTGCATTTCAGGAAGCTGAGCAGCATCTCTGGCCTCAGCCCACTAAATATCTATCAGTATATTCCTCCAGGTATGACCCCCAAACACCTCGACATTGCCAAATGTCCCCAAGGAGACAAAAATCACCCCAGGTTGAGAATCACTGTTCTGGGGGAACAAGATGATCTCTCCTCTGGGTACTTGAGTGCCTGTTCACTCACCAGGGAGCCTAGGAGGCATGTGATCACCCTTAGTATAGCCATTACCTACTAAGAGGATGGGAACTTCGGGTGGTGGGAACTGAACCCCAGGGCATGAGACGGGTGTTCAGCGTCGCACCATCTAGGGGTGCTGTTCTGTGCACGGACAAACTGCAGGGCCTGGGGTGTCAGGAAAGGCCTTGGACAACCAGCCAGGAAGGATAAGGACTGGGTTCAAGGAAGGAAAGGAGCAGAGAAGGCCAGGGCAGGCTCCTCTTTCCCATGGTGGCCAGCGCTCAGCTGCCTCCCCGCTGGCTGGGCAGAACCTGAAGATGCTAGGGAACAGTTCTGGTGTATCACCTGCCATCAGCCCTGCTTGTTCTCTCTCTTCTCTTTTCTTTTTTCCCTTGTATCTTTATTGCATTTTTTCCCATTACCATTTAGTCCCCTTACATCACCCTCCCTAGCCCTGCCTGTTCATCAAATGGTTTAAAAGCAGGGGATGCCCTGGCTGGTGTGGCTCAGTGGACTGAGCATCCGCCTGCCGACCCACAGGTCCCTGCTTGGATTCCGTCAGGGCCCATACGGCCCCAGTAGGGGGCGTGCGAGAGACAACCAATTAATGTCCCTCTCACCAATGTTTCTCTCCCTCCTTCTCCCCCTCCTTTCCCCTCTAAAAATAAATAAATCTTAAAAAAAAAGCAATGGCTGATAGTCTCCAGTCTCAAGTTCAAGGGACCCATACTGCTGGCCACATTTCACCATGTGGGCCTTTTGCTTTTTTTAAAGCTCTGTTCAGGCCCCCTCCCAAGATGTATCTTCCTTCTGTAAAGAGTCCAGTTCTCCCCAGCCCTTTGTGGACTTACAAGGCAGAATGCCAGCAGTGGCCTGGGAGGGATGGAGATAGGAACCTGGGGACCCTGTCAGAAAAATGCCCTCCCCGGAAATAAACCTAGTTGAACCCGAATGCACCGTGGCTGTGCCTGGCCGGCAGCAGAAGTGACTCTCCCCCCTACAGAGAGCCCGCCTCCCTCCCTGGGCACACAGAAGGGGGCAGCCCGGCCAGTTGCAGCCCACGCCAGTCACGTCGCGCCTGTGAGCCCCAGTCCGTGACGTGACAGATTTAGAGAACGTGCTCCATGATTCTGTCACATAAAACAAACTCCATACACGTGTCCTGCCCCAGCTGAGTCCTGATGAATGCACTTAAGGTTGGGCCATTTGCAAACAGGCATTTGATTTGGGCCATCTTTTTAAAAAATTTTACTCTTACCTGAGGACATTTTTTTATTGCTTTTAGAGAGAGGCAGGGATGGAGGGAGGGAGAGAAACATCAGTGTGAGAGAGAAACACTGGTTGGTTGCCTCTTGTATGCGTCCCCCATCAGGGAAGGAACCCACAACCCAGGCATTTGTCCTGACGGGGAATCAAACTGGCAACAAACTGGCTTTGTGGGACAATGCCCAACCCACTGACCCACACCGATCAGGGTCCCACTTGTGTTTCTTTCCTCCATCAGTTCTTGTTGCTGCATTTCCTGTGTTTGCAGCCAAAAGATCCCCGGCAAGTACAAGCTTCTGCCGCTGCAGAAAAAACGCACGCAGGGATTTCGGTCTCTGCAGCATAAAAAACAAGCTGCAACCTAATTAAGTCACACCTGCAGCTTTAGGTGAAGAGCCCCTCCGGCTGGAACTCGGGGACCTTCCCATGACCTTGTTACCTCACCATGCGCTGGGGCTCAAAGACCTCCGCAGGAAGACTTCACACAGATCCGGAAACCCCACAGAAAGCCACTTCCCGCCCTGGTCAGCCCCTGTGTTTAGTGTCTGTGCCTTGGAAAGAAATACAGGCTCCTTCGCTGTGGGATGTTAACTGTTTTATTAATTTAGGGCTAACACTGTGTTTGCTCTGTGGATCTCTCCTTCAGAGGCGTGGACGCGACCGACACCTGCGGGGGTCCCCCCACCCCAGCTCGTGGGGACCAGTCGCAGGACGCGCGGCAGTCCGAGGGGGAGGGGGCCGACATGGAGAGAAGTACAAGCTCGGGAGAATTTAAGGCAAATGTTACTCCCACGTGACGGGGAGCCGATCGAGCCGACCTGTGCATTTCAATGAAAATATATGAAATATTTGTCACAATAATGAACGTCGGTAAAAATCAGACACGTGTAGCTTATAAAACGCCTACACAGGTTTGGTGGGAAGAGGGCCCGCCGTGCTGCCGGGCTCGCAGCACACACAGACACCGCCACCCCCACCCCCACCTCGAGGACGAGGATCCCGAGGAGCCGGGGTGGGGGGGCACATGGGTTTTAACAGCAACCCCACCCACCGGGACGTGAATGGTGAACCACCCAGGGGCTGGGCGGACGTCTCGGTCGGAGGAACCGCTTGGTCATTGGGGCACCTTCCTGGCTGGCCCCCCCGGAACGCCTGCTGGGGACCCTCCTCAGAAGGCTGGGCATCCAGGTGGAGGCAGGCATGGACCGGGGCCACGAGACTCCTGCAGACACAGACTGAGGGCGCGGGGAGGGCGCTTGGCTCACTCAAAGGAGAGTGCTCCGGGGAAGGAAGACCCTCCCCCCATCCCTGGGGTTCGGAATCGGACTCTCTAAGCGACTGCAGCCATTTCAGAGGTCGCTGATTATGTAGAAGTAGATGCTCTACGCCCAGTGGTCAGACACTGTATGCCCCCCAATCTGTCTTATTTCTAGTCTGACCAAACTGTCCCCCTGGACTGCTCTGTAGCAGCTGGGGGAGCAGGTGCGGGCCCGGCCCTGCATTGAGCATGCGTGGGGACAGCCAGGTTCTGCGGGCTGGGCCCGGTGGCTGAGATTGACCTCGGAGCTGCTCGGAAGCCCCGGGCGGGGGAAAGGGTGACGTGGGAGGCCAAGTGGTGTGACTTTCTGCTTTGGTCTCGAAGATTCAGTAAACGTATGGTCCAAGCAGCTGGAGCCGTGGAGTCCCAGGATTCCCGTGGTTCCCGTGTGCAGTTGGCGGGAAGAATGCAGCCAGCAAGCGGAGTGGGAGAGGACAGCGCTGGGTCAGGGGCAGCCCCTGCAGGCGCCCCGCCCCCGCCCACGGGCTCCGGGTGCCCAGAGATGCGGCCCGAAG